TGGTCCATTAGCCGGAGTGGATGATTCAATAAAAGAGTTAAGGGGTTGACCTAATAACCTTAGGAAAACCCATATAGGAATCTACAGTTAGGCGTTCAAATACAATTCAGCTACACATTTCTAATTGGAATGTCTATGGTTTATTTTATGTTTGTGTATACAACAGCTAAACCATTCCTAATTCTTGTTTGGTAACTTCATTGTTGATTTCGTGACTGAAATTTAATCTGTTTTGCTTCAGGCATATGCAATCAAGAAAAAGAACAAACTTTTCCTATTGTTGGTGTTTTGATTTGCTTTTTCAGTCCAGAGCACTAATTACCAAGTTTAAAACAAAAAGAGAGCTTTACTTCCTTATTCACTGATTTTTCCATTTCCATTTATTTTAAACTCTATTTACTTCGATAACTGACTTAAAAATAAGGATCATTGTGTTATCCATTAATGCCATTTAAAAAAAATACTTCTTCCAAAGAACTTCAATTTTCTCAAAATAGCTATTAGCTTTTATTATAAAATAAGCATGAACAAAGTAAAAGGGAAATATACTCTAGGGGACAATAATACATCTGAAAGAGAGAATGGACCAAGATGATCTAATAGTCCTTTTTATCTGATGTCTGTGACTTACCTTTTATAGCCATTGGATACTGCTAGCGACTGCTCTTCTTCATCAGGCAAAACCCCCTGTTCACTTCAAAGAGAGAAGCAAATGCAGGATTAATTTTCTTCTCATCGCTCACATTACTAATAGTCTCTCCCTGTGCTTGTGCCCCCCCCCCTGCAAAAAAGCTTATTTAATATAATCCATAATCCTATTTTTACAGCCAAACTGGTTTGTAACACAATCAGAAGTACTTCCAAAATTTGCAGTGCCTTTCTCTTGGCAGTTGTTCGCTATTTTAAAACTGAATGTAGATTTTCTTCTCCCATCATTGGTTTTCCAATGGATGCACCTTACCATTTCTCCCCCTTGTTTCAGTGACAAAGCTAATTGTAATTTAGAAACAAAACTTGATCCCTCTCTCTCTTTCTTTGGTTGTATTTGTGTTGTGTATCTACATAGAAATATGAGTAAGATAATGATGTATAGATTGTATGACAATATTGCTACCATTTCATATGCACATTAATGCCAAAAGCGTGCTGAACACTGAAGTTATATTGGACTGCACTCAAGAATATCACTGGCTTTAGATAAAACGGACAAAGGCAAAAGAGTAGCGGGCAGCATGTGGAGGATTAATGAGAATATGGCATGAGAAGGGAGTAAACCATAAAAAATGATTCAGAAAAACTGAGGTGGTGGAGGTTACCTTTAGTGAAGGTGTGAAACTGGAAGAACAACCTGCAAGAACAAACTCCTCCAATGTCCATACTAGGTGTGGCCTCTACAGGCATTGAACACTTCACAGTAGCACAATTGTGAAAAAGAAACAAAGGGGTCTGTTCCTTCTTACTGTGGTTATTGAGAGTCTGATGGTAACTCAGAAACTGCTATGAGGGTGCATCATCTTGAAATTCTGACATAAGGTTATTGTTTGATGTGCCGGCAGGAAAATCGGCGTGGCCAATTCTAAATCCTTATTTGATAAGAGCAGCAAGGAAGGGCTGTAGGCAAGATAAACTCTCAAGTCATACGACATCTAAGGCAGTTTCTTAAATAAAATAGGGGTTTTTTTTCTTCCAAGTAAATAGTTTCAAAATCAGTCTCCAAACTCATCTTTTTTTAAAAGTAATTTTATTTTTGTTTATCTGGGTGCTGCCAAAGCATTCTATGCTCTTGGGAAGTTAGATGTCCTATAGAACTCAAAAATGATGTTGAAATGGTTGTTTATGTTGAGAGTGGTGTCAGTGTATCATACAGAGTATGAAATATGATAGCAATGATTTCAAGGGGTTGTCACAACATCATTTAGTACTTCTGGATCCCAAATTCTAGTTCTTGCCATATGTTTTCATGGATCATATCTTCTGGAAGCCATACATGTGAAAAAGGGTGTGGCCTGTGAACTAGAATCTTGTCTATGTTTCACAGGAAGTGTTCATGTGATATTTTCTGTAGGTGGATCTTTGGTTAGCCTTTAAAACTATGTGGTTTACCATTACATATTATAACCTTATAATATGAAAATGGTAAGCATCCAGTTTGTCTGAAAATAGTAGGAGAGCAAAAATAACATGGAAGTGAGAAGAACATATATTTTATATAGATAGCAGTTGAACAAGTAAAAAATGAATTAACACTGAATGATTCATTCTACATGATGCTCTTTTTGGTGTGACTTCTCTCTTTGTCTTTTGTGCAATAGACTGGTAGGCATGTAAAATGACTTTTTATGGATAGGTGATGCATCGTTAGAATATTTCACTGGGTTAAACATTTACAATAATCCCCTAGATGATAACCAAGCTACTCAATTTTGAAATTTTCTAGAAACACACAACCAGTTCAATCCTATAGCTGATTTTATTTTATTTGCTCATTCACTCTACATTTTTTTAATTCACTTCTCATTTTGTTGTATGACTTCAAGTCATTTCCAATGTGTGGCAACTCTAAGATGAACCTATCGCAGGGTTTTCTTGGCATGATATGGTCACATGGATTGCCATTGCTTTTTTTTTTTGAGACACACAGATAGTGACTTGTCCAAGGTCACCTAGTGAGTTTCCATTATTGAGTGGAGATTGGCGCTTTTTGAATGGCTTATGGAGTAAAAACTGCATAAGCATATAGCAAAGCTCTTCTTTTAAAAACAAACCAAGAAGAAGAATGTAAAATAATGCATAAGAGTGAAAATTAATCAATTGATCTTGGTGAATTGTTGTTACAGGCAGTGAGCTGCCTTCCTGTTTATATAGAGTGAAAACTCAGTCTTTGAGAGCATGACTTTACCAAGATTACATACATATTAGTGCATTCAGTGACACTTATTCCCTACTAAAGTGTTGTTAGGAGTCCACCTTTAAGAGTGATGCTATGTATCTATACTGTAAACTATCCTAGTGTTTGATATACATATATGACTCCCTAAGTACATGTTTTGCTTTGTTTTTTTAAATCTTTTTAAAGCAATTAAAGTGCCTCTCAACTTATTGACAAGACTCTTAAAAATAAAACAAAATCTTTTACAAAATCTGATGTAAAGAGTCCATTCCATTTTTGGGAATTGCTATTTCTAATCCAAGTAGTGAAGATTCTGACAGCTCCTGGACTGAGGTGGCGCTCATGTCCCTGATTCTTTTAATGTAATTCCTTTTACTTGATGTTAATGCAAATTGTTCCTTACTTAAAGTAATAAAAGGAAATGAAGACACATTTGAAAATGAAAGTTGACTCTAATCCATTCGTCATCTAATACTAGCCTCTTTATCTTTGCTGCTACCTAATCTGGTTAAATGTCCCTGTTGTAGGATTTTAGTGTAAATCCTCTATAGGGAATAGGATTCATTTTCCCTCCTCCCCTATCCCTTGTTGCAATTGGATTACTTGCAGTAAAATGGCTCAGCGGTTTGCTTGTTTCTGTTGAGAATTTTTTGTGAACTTGTGAATACACACTATAGCAGGTTGTTCCCTGCCCCCTCCCCCCTGACAGTTGCATTTCCTTTTTGCATTATTTCTTCTTTCTAACCCCCCCCCCTTTTGAATGAATAATAGTTTTCCATTGTTTTGAAACTATTTCATTAGCTTGATTTCTTTGCAAATAGAGATATGATTTTAAGTGTCAGCTTCTAGTAAAGATTTTTTCACTTAAAATTATATTCACTACTTCATCTAAAGTTATATATTTATGTGCTCAGGTGAATTTGAAATTCTTTAGCACAATCTTTTACATATCTGCTCATAGTAAGTCCCCTAGAGTTCAGTGGGGCATAAATTGCAGGTAAGCAAGTATAAGATTTCAAGCTTGGTCAGATCTGCTATGTGATATGACAGAGACTGTCTGGGTGTTTGGTCCTTTTTAATAGACTTAAGTACTCCAAAATTATGTAATTTCTTTTCCTTCAGGCCATTTATATCTTTGTTAAAAACACAAAATGATATATATGGAATATGGATGTATGTAAACATGTTTCAGTGTAAAAAGGTAGAGCTGAATGTACTCATACCTTGAAGATGAAATTGAAAAGCATATTTGTTGCTCTTTCTGGGATCAGGTTTGAGTTTCCTAGAGTCCAGTTTGCCTTATTTAAAGGTCTGTCCTTTAATTATCCTTCAGTCACGAGAAAAGTAGACTTGTTACTGGGTATAGTAGGTGGACGATTGGCTCCGGCCTCTTCATGCCTGCTAATAATATAACTTTTGAACTGCTGACACACAGGTCTTACTTGTGGCCAGTCTTGTGTGTCCTGGAATGAACTCTGCAGTTCACACATCTGACTGTGGATGAGATTCCTGTGTCAGCAGTTTGGATGTTACATCATTGGCAACTGCTCCTAGCTGAAAGTGAATGTGTGTGATCTCCTGTACCTGATAATAGTCAACAATCAATTGCTCCCTTAGGCTTGATTATTTCATGATGTTAAAGCCCATCAAAATTTCAGAGCACAAGGGAGCATCAGGCCTTAATTTAAGCCCATTTAAAACACAGATACTACAAACCACCCCTCTGCTCCATAAGGGAAGATTTTTCTCCTAGCAGTAGATGTGCACTGCATATGTTATGAAAAGAAAATATGCAGAAATGGAGCAATATATCAGAAAGAACTAAAGAGTCTTCATTTTACAAGGCATGGCTTACAATCTAATATGAACTTTTGAATGAATTTAGAGAAGGTTAGGAAACATATCAACTGCGCATTATATAAGAAAAGAAAAACCATAACTGAAGATGTTTTTGATTTATGATTGTGCTGTGTCTACTGTGGATATTTGCAACTATTTCTAAAGTAGTATGTCTTGGTGTGTGTTTCTAAACTGGCTCCTTAACACATGTGCTGGATAGCTTTCTTAATGCAGCCCTTTTCCAATTCTCTTTTCATTTTTGTCTTTTCAGTCTAACAAAGTCCCAGTTGTGCAGCACCCACACCATGTACATCCTCTTACGCCGCTTATTACGTACAGCAATGAGCACTTCACACCAGGGAATCCTCCTCCACACTTACCAGCTGATGTAGATCCAAAAACAGGTAGGTTGAAAAGGTTGTTGTGGAGAAATGTGTATGAAAAAAGGTTAGGGCTTTGGAGAAGTAAGTTTCCTGGAATATAGCAGAGTTAAATCAACTGAGGAAAGTTTGCATGGGGAGCAAGAAGAAGGATATTTCCTTAGGGCTATGTATAATAAAAACAACCATTTCAAATGATGAAAAATAAGCATGTTGGTTATAACGTTTGACATAATTGTCTGCAAAATTGACCTCAGGATATGAGCCCTATCATTTAGGCCTCAATTTCATTTGAATGATAACAAGTAAACAGAGATAACTACAGTGTTCTCCATTTTTAACATTCATGACTGGGTGGGGATATATTGACTAAAGCCAAAAAAGGAAAACCTCATAGTCCCCAGAGTCACACTCTTTTTTTTAAATCACATATAAAATGCAAGTACTCACTAGTCCAAAGAGCTGCTGTTTTGACTACAATGGTGCTTCTTAGATAACTGATTACTTTGAAACCATGAAAAACTGTTCCTAGAAATGAAATAAATTAAGTTTCCATTGTAGGGCAGACAATGCCAACAATCTTATCAATTTATTTTGGACAGATTCTAAGCAGAGATTAATTCTGTTTTTGAAAAGTCTGTGCAGTTTTCTCCATTTCAGAGCCATTTCTTGATGCTTGATTTTAAAATTATGGTAATTAAGCATTCTCTTATGTTCTGACTTTTTTCTTGTACAAAATAAGTCTGCTCCAATTATTTCTGCACATAATCTTTTAATAATTCTAGTTTGGGGGGTGGGGAACTAAATTTTTGTGTGCTGTCCCTGGGTTAGTTTGTCAGTTTTATCTCTGGGACTGTTCATAACTTTGAATCTCATGTTAAATGAACTCTCAAGTTCGAATTGTGTACATGTCACAGGTTGGGACACTGTTCTATAGGATTGAGATCCTCTGTTGCTTTCTGGGATTTTTCTACTCTAGCCTGATGGTTGATTATTGCATCCATGCTGCTCTAAACCCTGGTTAAATGTATTAGTGTTAAAGACTAAGCTTGACTTATTTTGTTAACTAAAAAAACTCTTGTTAGCTTGTTGCCCTAGAGAATGTAATAGTGTCAGTCTTTGTTCTTCAGACTGCACAGAGCCCACAGAGAGCATGTGTTACTTTTTTTGGTTAGTCCAAATCCCTGCAAGTTAATTAAAAAGTAAATTTGAAACTGTGAATACATGTCAGAGCTTGTTAAAGAACCGCTGCAGTTGTGATTAACATATTTAGATAATGTATCCAAACTCGCTGTGTGAATGAATGAAGTAGCACATCAATTTTGCCTCCTGCCTGCCACAATTGGGCTTCTTTTGGGTAGCATTTAATGCTAACTTTGCATACGTTTAAAAGGAGCCTCATCCATCCATCTTTGAGTATTGCCTGCCCATGGCAGCAAAGTCTGACACCCATTCAAATAATGGTAGTTCAGGGAATAGTCTTTAAATGGTTATCGTAAAACATATGATTAGTGTCTGTAGACTGTTTACTTTTCTTCTGTGAACATTCTTTCAAGTGTGCAAACAGCCCACTGTATGGTTAAATCCCAGTTAATCTGTTTGGTTTTTGTAATGGAGAAAAAGCTGCATCTGCCCAGAAATATCACACAGGAAGATTTCATTTAGAGATTAAAAGCTCCCTGAATGCCTGTTTTTGAAAAAAAAACAACAACAGTTTTTTTTAGTTTTAAATACAGTGTCTTTTTAAATGTTCTTAATTTTTTTTTGCTGTATTGTCAAGACCTTTGTGAAATCAACCTTGTAAAATGTACTTGGTTGAGAAGGTTCGGGGATATGAACAATGCAATTTGTACATCTACATTCTGTTTAACCATTGGAATCCCTAGAGATGATATAAGGGCAGCTCTGAACAAATGTTTTGGTGATTTAAATTCTTTACATTTCTTTCCTGTGAAAACAAAGCATTACCTTTATCGGACAACTTAACGAAGCCATTTTTTTAAAAAAAAAACAACAACAGATTTTGCTCAAAATCAATAGTGCAAAATGGTCTTCAGTTAAATGGCATTTAATAAATACCATCTTCCGATAGTTGCTTTAACTGTCCATTGTTTCTTGAGTAGTTTTCAGACTAAAGGCACTCAAGTAAAACAAAAACAAACAATTAAACAAAAAACCCCAACCCACTGGCCTATCAAGTTAACATATGGCAAACATGTTTTGAAAGATGTATTTCATACATTCAGACCAGCAGTCAAGATGGCCCATTCTGTCTCCTGACTGTACCCTTAGTGACAAACCTGTAGATAGAATTTATTGTTGGGTGGCATTGTTGCTTATTAGGGGTATTAAAGTCTGAATCTTGGATATCTGCACTGAGTTGGTTTATATGTTATCCCTTATTTTTATTGCGCCAAATCTCACATATATTTCTGTCAATCAGTGCTTCTCAAGGAGCCACTGTGAGAAACTTGCAATCCCTAAGCCCACCAGTGTGCTATGGACTGGTATCATATTTGTGTCCGTTTCCAACAGTTGTTTCTTTTTCCCCCCTGAAAACTCACGAGAGACTAGTAGACAGTTCCTTATAGAGCAGTATCAGTCCACAGACTGTCACTTTGAGCAGCACTGATAGATATAACAATCAGTACTTTATTCTGATGGAGATAGAATACTCCTAATTTTTAGTTTGTAATACAAAATATAAAGTGAGGCTCCATCTACATTGCTATGGAATGCAGTTGAAAGCTAGCTTCAAATTGCGGTGACCAAACTCCCACAAAAACACAGAAAAGTAATCCCTAAATGTGTGTCAGTTCTCTGTGGTGCAATAACCATCTGGGCCTCAAACTGGTTCCAGGATTTCCAATAATAATGTTTGACTTGTGATTTTGTGACATGAAATCCAGCATATATATCTCATTTGCTGTGACATTTGCTGTTTTTGTGTCAGTAAAATAATAATAATAATAATAACAACAACAACAATAACAACAATAGGCGCTGACAAAATTACCATCTGCCAGCTGCAGAAGGCCACCTTACTGGGATCTGCACGCATTATTCACCGATACATCACACACTCCTAGACACTTGGGAAGTGTCCGACATGTGATCCAATTCAACAGCCTGCAGAGTGTCTGCTGTGGACTCATCTTACTGTGTTTCAAATAATAATAATAATATAGCACTTTATTTATGTTATGCTCTATCTCCCCGAGGGGACTCAGAGCAGATTGTAACATACACAGATAGGCAAACATTCAATGCCTTTAATACAGTGAAATAATGACACACAAATACACAGAACAAAGGTAAAGACTTCCCTTTTCATCTCTGATTTCTGGAGGCAATGCTCAACTGTGGTCATGGGGATGTGCTCTTTTTATTCAAGAAGCCTGTTGTCTGTAGACAAGAATTGGTCATGTTGCCAGCATGTCTGCCTGGGTGCCTTTATTAACTTCCTGCCAAAGCATGACCTATTGATGTACTCACATTTGCATGTTTTCGAACTGCTAGGTTAGCAGGAGCTAGGGCTAACAGCAGGAGTTTACCTCAACCCATGGCTTCGAACTGCCAACCTTCAGGTCAGCAGTTCAGCAGCACAAGGCTTTAACTCATTGCACCACCCATTGCCTCTATGTAATCATCTGCACTGTGAAAACACTTTATTTAATACACATTTAAAACTGGATTAAATGATCAGTATAGATGGGGCCCGAGATTTGGAGACAAACACTGCATTCCCCTGGTTGTCCTCCTCTTCTGATATGTCAGTTCATTACATACTTCTCATTTAAACCATTTTAGTGACTGATTTACTCTTAGTGTGTACTGTGCTGCTACCTCTGCTTTCCACTCACATATTTAGAATTAAAAACAGAGAACCTGATAGGACCTATTTATTAAGGGAAAGGCAGCTCTCACTTTGAGCTTGAGCCAAATCTGTCCCACTTCTTCCATACCTGCAACTTACATAGGAGAAAAACTATTGAATTGAATGGGATCTTTTTCATATGCAAATTGCAGTGGGGGGGGGGGGTATTGAAACCACATTGACAACTAAAGGACCCTTCTGCATGATTGTGTTAATGGCTATGTTATATTGAAATAGCCAGTGTGAGTTAATTTAACATTTCCTACATCATAAGTCTCTCGTAAATATAGATTCCTGGTAAGATACTTATTTCAAGAGTTTATTTGTAGATCTAATAATGGACAGAATAATCCAACATGGGGCTGGACATGAACAGATTTGTCACTGTATTTAGGCTGCTTTGTGTTACCTAGGGCTTTGAAAGGAGCAAGAACATACTATGCAAATGGGCATAAGTTATCTCACCCTAAGAATTGAAAGCCAGTTGCTCTCTATGGCATCCTCTTACAGAATATCCTGTGTCAGAACCTTTCACCACTAGACAAGTTACAGCGGATCATGCCTAGATCCACTCAACTTTGCAGCAACCTAGTGGAAGGGAAGGGCAGCACACTGCTCTAACACTTTCCAGCAATCAGTTTAAAGATGAGGATAAAATTGTCTGTTTGAGCTTTTACTCAGGGCCCTTCCACACTGCCCTATATCCCAGAATATCAAGGCGGAAAATACCACAATATCTACTTGGAACTGGGTTATCTGACTCCACACTCAGATAATGTGGGATTTTCTGCCTTGATATCCTGGGATATAGGGCTGTGTGGAAGGGCCCTTAGTCATTATTACAATTTGGAACTCTAAAAATGGTTTTGCCATCTTGTACACAGAATGTCATTAGTTGTAGATAACAGCTGAAGAATGTTAAAGAGTATCAATGCAAATGAAATAAATAACTTCAATCCCAAATAAAGCCAAATTGGAGGAAAAACTATGGCTGATATTGATTTGAGAAAGGAATCTTTCAGAAATAGAAAGTCACTGCAGCCATAAAATGCTTTGGTTTAGAAAGCACCGTTTCAATGACCTGAAGGTGGCCGCACAAGGAGACGACACACATGCTGCTAAAAAATGAAAGTACGCTGGGAGCCTCCATCCTTTTAAGACTTTGGGAGAACAAAGTCCTGTATGGTCTTTGACTGTGGGGAAGAAAACAGATCAAATGTCCTACTTCTCTGTGTCTCATTTGCTTACTGTACTTAAGTAGGCCGCTCTGGGGAGGATAGGTGAAGGCAGCAGGCCATGCCTTGAGAACAGAAAGTAGACTCATAAAAGGCAAAACGTGGCACTTATGGTGTCGAAATTTGTATGACTTTCCAGCCTCCTTTTTCTTTTTAAAATTCCTTTTCTCTCCTGCCTTGACCCAACTTTATGATGCTTCTGTTTCCTCTTTCCTAGGAATTCCACGGCCTCCGCACCCTCCAGATATATCTCCTTATTATCCACTATCACCGGGTGCTGTAGGACAAATCCCCCATCCGCTAGGATGGTTAGTACCACAGTAAGGAGTTCCATTTTTTTTACATTTTATTTTTTATTTTTCATTTTTATATATGTCTCTGTGTAGTGTGTGTAATGTGTGTGTGGTGGGTTTAAATCATGCTTATTTCCCTTTCCTGAAATGTGTATATTGAGATAAGCATGTTTGTCAGCTGCCAGTTTATGGTATGGAGAGATCAATAATTTGCTCAATAAAGATTAAATGAACAAAGTGAATGGGTCACAGAGTGTTAAATGAGAGTGAAGCTTGTGGGCATCGTTCCACTTGTCATAACTTCTGGAGATTCCTGAAGCTTAATTTTCAGACAGTATCACAAGAATTTGAAGAGGAGAAGGATAAAATTAATTGCATAGACTCATTTTTAGTTCAATTGTTCCAATTGACCAGATGTTTTTAGGTCATGGTATTAGTTTTAGAAAGACTACATTTACATGAAACCACTTTAACTCTTTTTCAAGGCTTTAGATCAATGTTTATTTGTCAAATTCTTTAAGTACTGAAACATAGTTAGGGAAAGAGGGCACTAATTAAGCAGATAAGAACTTTTATGGAAAGCCAAGCTGAATATAAAATGCATGATATCAATATAGGAGCAGGGAAACAAGTCTTACTTTGACGTCAACATTTTTCTCATAGTAATAAAGCTAACAAGTCTATCTTTAGATGATGTAGGCCTTGAGAATTATAACCAGTATACATTTTTAAGCAACCATCCTATCCATGGATAGGAAACAGGTGGCACTGTAGTGTTGACTATTAGTTGATTGGTGGTGACCATTTACATCTGTGGCTGCAGGTACACCTACTGAAATAATTTGGAGTACCCTTCTCTGGAGCATCCCCAGAGATCTTTGGTGTCCAGACAAATGGACAGGCCAAGAGTACACCGGAGCCTCTGCCAACTCTGTTTCGCTGGACAAAAGCAACTCCTTGGCAGAATCTTGCTAGCAACATTGCTTTTGATGAAGCCACAATTCAGTACATAGCCTTTTGACCAGAAGAAGCAACTTTACCATCAAGGCTTTACCAGATAGTGTCTATTCAGTGATATGTGGACACTGGAGTGGACCAGTTCCAGCCCAGTCCAGCTTTCCGCATCTCAAAAACACTGGGATAACTCTAGAGCTTTCTGGAAGCTCTGGAGTAAATTAAGGTTCCCCTGATGTCAGTCTGGATTCCTTGCAAAATTATTCCACTTTATTTGGCCTGTGTAGATGCAACCTATGACTACAGATGCCACACAGTATTGATCTTATTGTCTGGAGGACAAGAGGAAACACTGTGCTTATGAGGAAAACATGTGGAAAAAATGCCTGGCCTGTGACATACTCAATGTCCAAATGAATGGTTGGATTTGGATTACTGTGCAACACCCATATCTGTGGGGAATACATTCTACACCAAACTATGGATCATAGTGCGGCCCTTAGTTTTTAAATGTGTCATGATGTTATTGTTTTATTGTTTTACTGTTATTACTTTAATGTTTATTGGTTTGTTTTCTGAGTTTTATTGTTGTATTTGTTATGCTGTTGTTTTATTGAGGGCCTTGGCCTTTGTAAGCCGCACCGAGTCCTTCGGGAGATGTTAGCGGGGTACAAATAAAGATAATAATAATAATAATAATAATAATAATAATAATAATAATAATAATAGTGAATCCTATTAAAATGAAGGACTGCTGGCTCAAGAATATGCTAGAGTTGACCTAGAGTCCTGAGAAAATGTCTAAAGAGGACCTAATGCACTGGTTCTCAACCTGTGGGTACCCAGATGTTTTTGGCCTTCAACTTTCAGAAATCCAAACAGCTGGTAAACTGGCTGGGATTTTTGGGAGTTGTAGGCCAAAACATGTGGGGATCCATAGATTGAAAATCACTGGCCTAATGAATCAGACATGGATAAATGAAATCCCAGATACTGGTCCCATGAACATGGGGGTAATGCTGTATTTAAGATTTTCACAGGCCACTGGATTCCTGTTTATTTTATGAATGAACAGGGTTGTTCTCTAAGAGCATTGGGAAACCTTATTGTTTAAAAAACAAATGCCGTTTGCCCCGGTTTAGGGCCATACTTGGATGGGGAAAAAGCTTGAAATGCAACATTATCCCCTTATGACCCCTCATTACAGTCATTAAATGAAACAGGACGATGGCATTAGTTTTCATATAACAGTGAAACTTTCACAATGTTTTGTCCTTCAGTTGGCTTCCTCCATGGCATCTGTGACCACAAGTAGATTCCACAGAATTATGAAGTAATAATTTCTTGGATATTTCTGAATTTTAAAATTAATGGCTATCAAGGGTTTTCCCCCTCCTCCTTGTTCTCCTTGTGTATATATTTCTATTGTAACATTTATGCTGCTTTTTGAAAGGCAAAAGAATATAAAGATCAATTTCCTTTAAAGGATTCAGTCATGCAGCCAGTAATAATTTTGACCATTCTCCATTAAACCATCATGGATCTGTTCCATTGTAATGCTGATGAGAATATCCTTAAAACATACATGCACATTCCCCAAATAAAAACTTAGCCATTCATTTGACACATTTGAATGACAGATGAAAAGGAATAGCCAGTATAGACAAACCTCAATCAGAAAAAGTTGTGTAGCTTTCATGAGGATGCTGTTTTGCATGTTGCTGTATTTTTTAATTATTGTAATGAGGTATGATTGTCTATTGGTTACCCACAATACTTCTTGGGGACTCTCCCCCGGTAACTCTTGTCAACACTTGTTAATCTGACAAAAGGCTACAAATTAAGCTCTGTTAATTTAATGTTTTCTCACCGAGATCTAAATACCGAAAGAGGCCCAAAGCGCAACTGAAGTCCTTTGATTCACTGTACTTTATTTTGGTATAAATTTACATTCATTATTGTTTTCCTTTGGATGTGTAGCCCTCAATTAGTGTGATGGCTCCATTAAAGCAAGCAAGACTTCGCCTTTAATTATTACAACAAAACACCTAGTTTCAGCTTGGGGAGAGGGTCTCTATTGACATAAGCAGAGGTTATAAAATTTAATTAGCCATTCGTATCAGATTTATGGCATTCAAATTGTTCTGTGTTTCTTCCCTTTGATCCGTGCTGTACAATCCCCAAGATTTTTGTTCTGATCAAATGAGAATAAAGCTTACTGTGCAGAGAGAGAGAGAGAAAATGTTTAAATCCAAAAAAATGCATATCCTGTTGTTGTTCTTTTACTCATTCTGTCCCCCATTTTTCTAGGCAAGGTCAACCCGTCTATCCAATCACAACAGGGGGATTCCGGCATCCCTACCCAACCGCTTTGACTGTCAATGCTTCTATGTCAAGGTGAGCTCAAAGTACATGCTTGCAGAATTGAGGTCATCTGTTACTTTCCTTTACTATTCTCTGTTGACCCAAGAGGTCTTGCTGGAGTATGCCTTGACTTAGTTATGCAATGATCTTACTTTTGGTTTGAGGAAAAAAGAAAACACCCCCTTGTCCTTCGTTTAGAGTAACAAAGCCCTTTCATTTATTTTAATTGCTAACTAACTTGGGCGGGGGGTGGGGAGCATAATAGTAATCCTATGATATTGAGAAGCCAGAAGATTATGCTCCTATGTATTTTGCTCTCATTTGCTCTCAAGTAATCACCCCTTTCCCCTTTTGCTGGCTCTCATTTGAGAACTGAGGCAGCAGACTTTTATTATTATTAGGAGGGGTGTGACATTTTTGTCTCATTCCCGAGCTCAAAACATTTTTAGTTGACATAAAAAGACCCACCAGATCCTCCCAAGGTTTAGAAGTATATATTTTCTCTCTCTTCCCCAACCTCCAATTAATTCCAGATAATTTTCCAAGGGCTGCTAGTTTTATTTACAAACTGCTTGGCAGCACTATGTTTAAGTAATCACTAATTGCTCCTAATGATAGTTTTATTCTCTGTTCATCTGATTTTCAGTCTAGTTAATTAAATCGGTGGAGGTTTAGACTTTCCTGATGGGCTGAAACAGCTAATCTATTTTGATGATGGCACATAATTAAATTAGCATGCATTACATAGCAAGCTTCCCACATCCCTCAATCCCTCCACCCTGCACCTATCCAGGCCCTGCAGTTAATATGTGAGGTTAGATTACAGAGGAGGAAGGCCTTGAAGATCCAAAGGACAAGAAAGAGACAAAAAAGGAACTTCTTACCTTATAGATGCCTCTCTTAGGGAGTCAAAGTGGGGAAGAAATTGGTTCTTCTTATACAAATGTAATTAAAACTCGAATTCCTTTGTGTTAATTGCTTTTTACCTATGTAGAAAGGGTAGGACAGCTGAAAAGGCCATTTCAAAATACCTTTTAAAATATATATTATTTGTAAGGCTGTCTTATTCCTTTGTTTTAGGAGTATGTTTTATTTTATTTTGCTAAGGATAGGAAAGTGTGAGAGAATGGGGAGATATAAATTATATTCCTCAGATATATCTTTATGAAAGGGATCTAGTTAAAAAGGGTATACAGCAAATTAAATACATTATTGTGATAATGGGATGACAGAAGTACAAGTCTATTATACTTACAGCAGTTATAGGAATTGTATGCTCCTTGCCCTGTTCTAGCACATCCTTTGATATTCATTCTATTCAGCAGCAGGGCCAGGACTTCTCAGAATTAAGTGATGGGTCATTATACTTTAAACACCATGGAGAAGCCTAGATTGGCAATTAAACAGCACTTGCTGACACTCGCTTGTGCCACTCTGTGACCCCCTTTAGATTGAGATGTTGGAGCTCGGGGCCCTCAGCCTGCTAAATTGGTAGCAGGCACTTCTCCTGACGAGGGCTGGCTCTGAAATCTGCCGGCTTCAAAGGGAGCAAGATCATGTATAAACCATAATGTGGGTGCACCGTGGCTCAAAAAAAAAAAAAACCAGGAAAAAAAGAAGGTAGGAATAGATGAAATGTTACAAGTGCAAGGGGAAAATGAGAGAATAATGACAAATCTAATGCAACTTAAAGAAGAATTGTTGCATGGAAAAATGCATCCCACTGCTTGTGCTTAAAATCAAGGCAGGCAGATGACATCCAGTTATCAGAAACATGTCAACAGTGAAGTAAAGTGAGAGTGAGTAAGAGAGAAGCCCCTGAGACAGCCAGGAACAAAAAATTAGTTGTCCTTAACAAGTTACGGCTCATCATTATATTCTGGCTTGGAGCCATAAAAGCAGACAGGGGTATATAATGAGCTGCTTAGAATTTTTAGGGTGTTTATTGCCATTCCTATAATACTGTTCTGTGGAAAGGAATTTCTCAAAGAGGTCTGTGTTGTTATATAATATAACGCTGCTGTGTACACACACACACACACACACACAAATAGACCTGTAGCTTTTAAAAACAGCTATACAAATATAGAGGCATGAACATTCAGAAATGCACCAAAATAGGTACATCTCCATTTGTTTTATGCATCTGTATTTTTAATTTTTCTTTTACTTGTTATGTGAACATCTTCAAAAAGAAAATTAGTATTACTATGTGTATGAATACACAACCAAGAACCTGCATATGTAATTGAATTCATGACACTATTACCCTCTGAGATTTAGGCTTGTCCTCCTTTGACATGTATAGGATATGTGACTTTTATGATCATGCCCTATTGTATTGAATTATATAGGAAGGATGATTAATATTTAATATTTTTTTAACTGTGCCTTCTCATCTGGATGTAAATACTATGGCAGAAATCCCTCCCTGTTTTTTCACAGATAGTTTCTAAGAGCCAAGTAATACTTCATTTTAAAATTCTTATTGGGGAAACATCCCATTGTTGCTACCACTGCCCTATTCCTCTCTTAACTGTATTTACTTCATTTGTACTTTGCCCCATCCTGTAAGCATAGCAAACCTTTTGTTTTACAATAGAACATAAAATTAAATTCTGTAACAGCTGGATCAAGATCCCAGTGTAAGTTGATAAAATAAATTGGAATATTTCACCCTCCCTAGTTAGATGCAGGAAGTTCTGTGTACTTTTCCTCATTGCATTCCACTTAAATGTAACTTGCCACTCAATTACAGGCATTTCAGTAGACATGACTTTTTGTTAGTGTGATATCTGTATTTTATTCCTAGCATTCATTACTCTGTTTTTAGATTGTTATTTATGTTATTCAATGACAAAGTATATATCCATACGTATTGTTATTTTTAAATATGAGACCATCTCATGATTCAGGGTTTGTGTAAAAAAGATTCTGTGCTGGAAAAAATTATCTACTGGGGAAAATGTTGGCTGTCATGTTATCTCTGTGATGTGAGAACTTTCCATTTTGTTCAACATTGGAAGATGCTCCTTCATACAAACATTATAAATATGATCAAGACACCTGATGCTTTACTACATCAAAAGCATTGTAAAATTCGTCCTGACAATGACATTTCAACAAGGCAGGAGTTCATTAGTAAACACATTTTTGAGACAATAGCACCTCTGGTTTCTCACTCCCCTTTTTCCTTCTCAACACAAAATCAAATTAAAGCCAATTCAATCATTTTCTTTCCCTGCTGCTACTCCAGTTCTGGGGGGCTTTGGTGTCAATTGACCACCACATGTTTTGCTTGGTGACAATTTGCAATCTTGTGTTGAGAGTGAATACAACTGGCATATATATTTATCTACTAGCCTTTTTAAAAACAAAGCCAAGAAGAATGTCCCCTGGATCAAAAGTGTACATATTCTATGATTCTATGATTCCAGCAGAGAAATTCTTATTTAGATTTCTTGGTGGCCCTTTTATTTTAGCTTCTTGCCTGTGCTCTGAGTCTTGGCACTCAGTTCAAGTATTGTTCCAATATAAATACTGCTGAAAGAATGCAGTCAGCCAGGGGTTAACAAGCCTGTTGCAAATTTTACCCCATTCTTCATAGCTAACATACAAAACAGACTTCAAGAATGCTTAACTCAATTAAACAAGGGTCCAAAATTACAATAAAGTAGCACCCTGTCATCTGGAACACTAGGATTGGTAGAACTCAGGAGCAGGGCTCTGTTTTCCTTTCCTTTTCCCTTTCACTTTCCCATCTAATTCTCCTGCACCCATCCCATTTTCTCCCATACCTATTATAGGCTGTAGACCTGGAACATGTGTTTTAAAATTAAACACATCTGTGAACAAACTTTTCAGCCTGGGATAAGGGGTACCAAAAGAACCAAGATATACGCTGAACTCATAGAACCTCACCTTGGTGTGGGATGGGGTGGGAATCATGGATCCTTCCAGATTTTTTTTTACCATAGGTTATGCCATGTAGGACTGCTGAGACTTGAAGTCCAGCAAATATCTCAAGGGCTGCAACATTTTTGCCACTTGTGCAGGGGTAGGACTCTGCTCCCTTTCACTGGTCTGACCCTTTCATTGGTTTGAATTTCCTATTATGTGAAAGGATAGCATTTAATAAAAGAAAGGAAAATATGGATACTATTAGAACTCATATGTTTTATACCATTTAATCAGACTTGGCGAAGAAAGGCTAAATCCCTAAAAACTCCCAGCAGGGTGGATGTGCTAGAAATTAGTGCTAGAAATTATCCTTGTCATGGCCAAACCTTTTGGTGGAATTGTGGCTGTGTTTCTGAGTTGGAGGAAATTTGTTTCTGGCGAAATTCACCTCCTTCCTCACCCAGCTCTTTCTCCACTCACATCCTTTTTTTTTGGGGGGGGGGTATTTATCTGGCAGATTTTTAGCCAGCACACTATTGGTAGATCACTGCCAACATTTTTCTGAGATCATCCTTTCTGCCAGCAGAAACTGATTCTGCCTGTTCCGAGTCCCACCCCCTACTTGCTCTTTTTCTTTCCATAAGGAATATGAACTGCCTCTCCTAGAAATGCCTATGAGTGGCAGTTTACCCTCTGAATATGTTGCATTTGCTGCCAACCCACACCACCATCCCCCCTACACATCTGCATTCACATATATACCTGTTTTTTTAGAGTAAAGTCTCTTTTGAAATCATAGAAGATGAATATTTTTGCTGTTACTCTGTGTCAAGCCATTTGTATTTGTGATTAGTTCAGATTAAAAATTGTGTTTAATGTTTAGTATCTATGAATTCAATTCATCCATGGCTTGAAAAATATTCCCCAAAAATTAATAATTCCCAAAGTAAACCTTGATTGTACCATTTATGTAAGGAATATCATTTTGCTGTGCCTTTGTTTATAATGGGAAGTGAACATCTACAAGCATGCCACTTTCCCTCCAAACCTTTCCTACTTTTCCTCTCTATCATTTTCCCTCTCTTAATTTCTGCCCACTAATATCCAGAGTCCCTGTAGATCAAGTCCCGTGCAATATACTTGAAGTGGGTAGGCACACAAATTTTATGATAATGAACCTCTTTTTTAAATGATCTTTTCCATCCTAACCCCACTTTTAATCCTAATACCATCAAATTAATTTAAAGTTTGATTTTCTATACCTTGATGAAATATTATAAGCCACAGGTTGAAATGTAAAGAGAATATAGTTAATAAGATGAAGAACTGCACATAAATGGTAGTGACACCAATGTTTTATTTAACTGATAAAGCTTAACTGATAAAGTTTAGGAACTAAACATCCACTCAGTCATATTTAAGGTTCAAATCAGAGGTTGGTTTTTCACAATTTGCTATGAGCAATGATATGCTTTACTTTTAGGTAGATGTCTTAAAATGTTCATTGTATTCAACATGTCCATGAACCAAACTGTTGTATTTAAAGAGGGGTTTAGAAATTCTAAAGTATTGTCCTAGCATTACCAACAAATGAATTATTGATTAAAAAAAACAACAGAAGAAGTGTGTTGTTTAATTTATCACTAATTATTGCTGTGAGCCTTTGTATGCTTGTCTAGATTATATGAGATTATTATATGGCTGTTATTATATGTGTGTACACACCCCTCCCCATTCATTCATTTTTATTCTGACGATTTACACAGTTTTCTCTCCTCTAGGTTCCCTCCACACATGGTCCCTCCACATCATAGTTTACATACGACTGGGATTCCTCATCCAGCCATAGTCACCCCAACAGTCAAACAAGAATCTTCCCAGAATGATGTTGGCTCACTCCACAGCTCGTAAGTTCATTTTTCTTTTTTAATTTCAAAACTAACTTTAAAATATTAATTTAACATTTGTTAGCCTGTTTTGCATTCATATTTATGACCGCAGATTCAGAATATCGGAATCTTTCAGCTATCAGGACAGATCATCTAACTATTTCCTGTCCTTCTGGGCAGATAGGTTAATATTCAAAGGGGGATGTCTGCTGATGGACTTGTTTCCACCAGGGAAATGGATTGAGGGTAGTTTGTGCAACTATGCACCCACAAATAGTGTGAAAGATATTTCACACTATTAGCCACTATTAGCAAGTATTAGCCTGACTTGTGGAACCTGGTCCAGCAGGTTCATCTGTAGCCAGGTTTCAAGCTCTCCTACGGGATGCAGGGAGGACAGGAGGGAAAGAAACATTTGTTATGTCAGAATTACAATGCCAGTAGCATTGGATTTAAGTTACTGAATAGAATCTAATACCTTCTGCATGCTTAACTGCAGAAATAGAGTTCTGTGTGGTGGGTGTTTTAGAATTGCTTTTATCAGGACTTTCTCTTAGATTATGGCCTCCAATTCTTCTGCATGATTTTATACTAAATGCATTTTGAAGAATACCACTTCTTCCAGAAAAATATCTTTCACACTATTTAATGATCATAATGTAAAATTAAGTATTTGTGTATTCGTGGTTTGATGACAACAAAGTTTACAGCCACTGAATCAGACTTGGGAATTGTTACAAAACAGTTCCCCAAAACTGAGGTTGCAGTTCATATCTGCAATCCTGATGCTTCCAATGAGACTTACAAATAAGCATTTCCTGAAAGAACCCATGTAATGACTCACTACTGCATTGATCCAGGGAGCTATATCTCAAGCCAACAATACAGATTTCAACATTTGTAACATGTCTAGGACTAAGTGCATGGTAGAGGTTGAAATGTTCTCAGTGTTGTACAAGTACCTTTTGTCTCTTCCTGTCAACCATCCAGAAAACATCAGGACTCCAAAAAAGAAGAGGAGAAAAAGAAGCCACACATAAAGAAACCTCTTAACGCATTTATGTTGTATATGAAGGAAATGAGAGCAAAAGTTGTAGCAGAATGCACATTGAAAGAGAGCGCAGCCATCAATCAAATTCTCGGTCGAAGGGTAGGTAACTAATCAGGGAATGTCTGTGTAAGCTTATGTGAATACATCTAAAATGAAAGGACACAGTACACAAATGTTACCTTAGTTGTGAGGAAAGTATTAGCCTGACTTGTGGAACTTTTGAACTAGGAGTAGTACCAGTTTTTTGCTGTAGCAGGCTGGGCTTTGAAACTTTCTTGTTTCAACCAAAATGAATAGTGGGATGTGGATAAAGGTTTTACCTGTGTGATTGTCTACAGTATAATTGTATAGTACATCATCAGAAAGTGCTAAAAGGTATATTTCTCTATCTTCCTTGCATTTGGTGTCTTTGCCTATGACCTGCCTCTCAATAACATAGTCTTACTCCTTAGCCATGCCCCGATGGTTTCTTGTATTGATTGATTTATTTAAATTATCTCTCCTCTGAGACATATCTCAACTATCCCAGCATATTGATTTTCTCAATCTGGCATCTCTAGGTGACCTGGCCTACAACTCCCAACATCCTAGACAAATGTGTTTTGGGTGATGCAGCATACCTGGAGGGCATCAGCTTGAGGAACACAAACACATTTTTGAACTCTGAATATAGGAATAATTTACACAAAAAACAATAAAATCTGTTGCTGAAGATAATTTAGCCATTCTGTAAACATTTGAATGAAGTTTGAGTTGCATAGGTCATTCTATGCATTTGGGAAATGATAGTTTCTTTTTGGAGGGTTGGAGCGGGTGAATACTGTGCTACATTCTACACACCATGAGTTTGTGTCTTGATTTATATATTTTGTTGTAAGAGGGAGGTACACCAGAGTTACAAAAATTTACAAGTAAATAAAAGGCAAATTTAAGGTGTAATCTACATTATTGTCATTTCCTTCATGCATATTGTTTAAGGGTGTACCCTCTTAGAAGTGCTATAGCTTTCCCTTTTCAGAAATGAAATGTTAAGGTGTATATAATTGAGTATTGCCCTGGTTAATTTGGGTGGAGCAGAGTTGTTAATAATAAGTAAGTTGACTATCATTATTATAACTCCTATAATTGGTTTTACTTTTCTGAAATCGGAATATAAATACAGTTCATATACACCTTATATGACTGACCTGCTGTTTTGCTTTTGGTTTTGTTTTCTTTCTCTCTTTAGTGGCATGCATTATCCAGGGAAGAGCAAGCTAAATATTATGAACTAGCCAGAAAGGAACGACAGCTCCACATGCAGCTTTACCCCGGCTGGTCCGCACGGGATAACTATGTAGGTGGCTATGTAGGTGGAATTTTTTTCAGTAGTAGAGCTTGTAGACAAGTACTGCTGTAATCTGCTGAAGTACACCCACACACGGAAGACAAGCACTACCAATCCGGTAATTCTAGCGGATGTTTTGGTTTTTTCACCAACTGAATTGGATACAATTGGCACTGATTCATTTGAGATGTATCACTAGAGCTTGTGTGAGAGCAAAAGTCTTGCAGTGTGTCTCCATCAGGACACCAGCTTTTGCATAGTTTACCAAAAAGAAAAAAAGAAAAGAAAAAAGAGATCCCCCTCTATTCTTATTCTCATCTGCTTCCCCAACCCTCCAAATTAGTGCCTTGTTGCAAACCTGTGTGAGAGTATAGTGGAAAGTGGAAGAATGGCTTACCCTGGCTTCAGAGAAGGACTGGCAAAGACTTGCTCTCAAGTGGGGCTAAATAAATTATTCCACCCTCTACTCTTTGATATTTTACGTTGTTGCACTATTGTCTGTCACAATTTTTTAAAGAATGCTGCTAATTGATGGTCTCTTTTCACTATACCTTGGGATAGCTATCTGTTTATCTTGTCATGTCATATATCCAGTTGCAGTGATTCATCCCTTTGAGAGATTCTGAAGTTGGATACTCTGGTTTTAGAGATTAGTGTCCCTGACAAGAGAGCAAGAGAGTGTTGTGTGTAAGAACAGGCCTCCGTGTACACAAAATATCTTTGGCAGTCTACATGGATGAATTCAAAACAAACATGCATGCCACCAGGTTCATCTGAGCAGTCTTGAAATAGCTGGGTGCATCTTTTGATATGAAGGCAAAGCAGACCTGCATGTGAAATCACCACCTGAAATGCATGACTTCTTGCCTGTATCCATAGCTGCATCGGGAATCAAACTATGTGTACATTAAATAGATGTGGTACTTGGAGAAGGAATTTGGAAATGTCACTTCTTGAACTACAGTTTCTAGACCCCCGATCACCATGGTTAGACAGTAGGATTGGAAAATTGAGGTCTAAAAAGGTATATTTTTCCAATTTTCAAGTGGCATGCACCTATCACTGAGAAGATGCATTCCAGGATTAAATATTTTGTACTTGGCATAAATAAACAAACTCCATAGGTCTTACCAAAGACAGTTAAATGATTACAAGTCATGTACACTTAAGTCAGAACCCATACTACACATGACTGAGATAGCAACTCCTTTGCTTTCTGATAGCTCAGTGTACACAACCTTTGTTTCAGCCACAACATTATTAAAATGTTATGCGTAAAATTGTCTCCTGGCAATCAGTATAAAGTGACTAGGAAACAAAAATTAATCTCTTGTTTCTCTTAAGATATATCATGATGTATGTATATCAAAATACAGGAATTCCAACGCCCCCTCCCCCCAAAAAAATCCAAAACATTTCTAATTCCAGGCATGGAGGTTAAGGGATATTCAAGTTGTACAAACATAGCTATGATAAGATGATGAGGGCATCAACCACTCATTCATAAATTTTGCTTACCTGTTTGTAACACAAATAATTAACATTTGCATAAAGTAATTAATTCTAAAATGCATCAACATTAAAATTCAAACTTGCATAAATACAGAAATGATAATAACATAAAATGGAGGACATATACAATGTCTCCATATATCAGAGCTATCAGTTTGAGGTTTAAATTGAAATGACTTCCAAGTATTCAGAAAAGTTAGTACAAGTAGACTTTGATGAGTCTCCTGGGCAGCTAGTCCTTCAGAGAGTAGTAATCAAGAGAGAGCTATTTTATGTCTTTCAGGCTGACCAGATGCAAAGGAAATCCTTTACGAATGATGTAGGAGAGGAAATTTCAGGAGGTGCTGCTCTTTTCAAGCTTACATAAGAAGACGCACCTCTGAAATTCTTTCTTCTGTACAGTCACAATAGGCACAGAATCCCTAACCTTCTTTTGCATTGGGTCATTCTATTATATCTTTTCATTCTTACTTCCCATACTGCTAAGTCTCTATTATTTAGAGATAAAATTAGATACATAAATTTATCAATTCTTTTGGGTTGTACTCTCTTGGTTTCTCCCCTTTAATATGTTTAAAATGTTTTCATGAGTGGATAAATGCATTCTTTTTCTCAATTCTATTGTTACGGAACTTAGGGTTAGATAAAAATGTTGCTATGGACAGAGGCAGAGGAATGTGTTATCGAGCAACATATATCATTTTATTCCTGAAGTCAAATGAAGTTGAAGTGTTGATTAAAAATCTGCTACGGTATCAAATACTTTACCATATATTTTCTTTTCTTCCTCCTCCTCCTCCTCCTCCTCCTCCTGCTCCTGCTCCTGCTCCTGCTCCTCCTCCTCTTCCTTCTTAATTTCTTTTAATCCAACTGCCTTCAATTTCTTTCTTTGATTGAAACCTTTATTTTAGTATCCAAGAGTTAACGCTTTCTATTGTTGTCCTCAACCAATTCACCGCCCACAACTGGTGGCTGAAATGGGCTGGAATGAGGCCATCAGACCACAGGGCCAATTCATTCATGTTACTCCGCAGGCTAATTTTCTCTGGGGAGTTCACAAGGGAGTAGTATTGGGATGTGAGGTAATGCTTAAAAGATTTTCAGGAAAGGCTTTCTCTCTGCTTTAGTGTGACTGTGTCACTGACAGATGGGCATGTATGGTGTCTTAAATGTTTAGGACCTTTACATTTGTCCTCAGCATGTGAGCACTGAAAATCCCTTTCTTCTCAAGCTAAAAGGACAGGATAAGAAAGATGATGCATACCCAGCAGCTTGAGGCTCTATCCCCACCTGACCTTCAGGGGGAACCTTACTTTAGTAGGAGAGCTCAATAGCTGTGGATCACACAAGCGCATCATCTACAAGGACTTTACTTTTCTCTCCATACAGTCGGAATTCTTGGAGTTTTCTCCTTTCCACAGGCTTTCTTTGGACAACAGCATTCCTAGGAGTATGTAGAACTGTGGGTAAGGGGAATGGGATGCATATTAAAAATAGAAGACCCTTTGCATCTCCTTCTGTTTTACCCCACACATAAAGACATTTGTGATACCTTAATGATGCACTGAAATCTTTTATGTGCAATTCTGATTTTTTTTTCTTTTTAACAAGTCTGGGAAAAATTATGTATTTACAAATGAAGTATTTGAAATGGGCTTCCCTCTAAAAAATTCAAACATTAAATTTTGCATTTTTATTTTACAATCTAAAATCTGTCAGCCAGTAAGAAACTGAATACTGGAATGCATCATAAAATATGATATACTGTACATAGTTTGTTGGTTTTAGGACAAAAAACACAAAACAAAATGTTTATTTTAATTTCACTTCAAGATTTAATTTCACTTCAATGTCATCCAAGGTTAACATCCAGTATACTTGCTCATTGGTGTCTGATTTTTTAAATTGCTGTTTTATACTCCCAGAAATTAATAAAAGGAAAACTAACGACTTGTTAGGGTTTAGAAGCTTCTAAAATATCTTAACAGTGCTGACATATGAGGACATGTCTTTAGGCAACTAGCTAAAATAGGAAATCAGCCCTAGAATACAAATTTGTTTGTGTTTTTCTTTCTTACAGTTGGCAAAAGTAAATATACCATAAGAATACAAGAAACCCAACTAGGCTGGTGTTGTCAAATGTGACTAGCAATGGCTTTGATGGGGTTTCAGACTGGATTCTTTCATACCTCTACCTCAAGATACATAGTATTAATTAAGTCTGACCCTGCTGGTTTTTGAGTTTCTCTTCATAGTATTTCTTCTTCTAAATACCCTTTCACATGGAAACCTTGAGGGTTTCTTTGAACCTGCTCGTTTTTCTTTGTGTTGCCACTTTGGCTGCATAAGCACAATGTTCTGGAAACAAAGGAATGCACTGTGGGACCTTGCATACGTGAATTCTGCATATTTTCTAGTGAAATCTATGCATCTTTTCCAGGATGTCAGAATGTCAATGTAAACAAAATGCCTTTATCCCTTTTCAGTATTAGCACAGTTGCCTACTTTTTTACCCAAAAGTAAAAACAAATGGAAGAAAATGAACCTCAAATATTTTTGCCATACAGTTATTTTATCATACTTAAGACAATGTTATATGGCTTTCCTTCCCTGTAAACTCTATTTATTTGATAGGGAATGAATTTGGGGCAATATAAATGTATTTGTGCTTGTTTTTCTGGGTAAAAAAGCTCTTGATTTTTCCACTCCCACTTCTGGAATAATGCATTCAATTATACTTATCTATCCTCAATTCCTTCTGCCAAAAGACTGTTTGCCTTGATGAAATACATTGTTTTTCAATATGTTATGCTTGGCATAAATTTCAGGTTTGTTAAGTGTGATAAATAATCCTGTTTCATATTTTACATCATAAACCTCTAAGTGTTTTACTAGCATTTGTAAACAGAAATCTAAAATGTAGCTCCTTATTTATGCAACCGTCTGTGTTGCATGATCCCTTTCTTTGAAATTATTAGTTAGTGCAAGAACCCCTGAGAAATCAGTCATTTCTGGTGGTTGGGTACGGAAGTGTAACCGAGACACCAGCTCCATTCTGCAAAGCACTTTATGTGAGGTAGAGATGAATTGGGGCCTTAACTCGGGTGGGTAATTATTCAGTTGCTGTAGTATTGCCACCAAATTCCCAGCAAGTGCATTAAATCTTAACAAAACAAGCAGACACAAACACAGCCTTCCTTCTATCACCAGAGGTTCTCCTGAACAAGACTTTACTTGTCACATCCCAAACGGCAGGGTAGCAGTTTACAGCCAGAATGAGCAAGGAGGAACAAGTTCAAAGGCCTTATTCCTGGAGACTTGCAGGAACTGCATCTTCAAAAAGAGCATTCACATCTCCCCTTCTTACTGGTACATTCCAGGGAACATAAACATCATAGTGGACATGCTGAGTTGAAACCCAAAATGAATAGTTGAAGTGGGAACTAGACCAGGCTGCTGGAGAGAAGACATCACAGATCTAGGAAAGCCTCCCCCCCCCCTCCATCTTCCTTAGGATTATAGCCCAATCTTCACTAAATTCTGAGAACATGGTTTCTGTTTACACTTGGATGAATAGAATATCTGGTGTCTGTTACTCCCCTGGCAAGTTCCATTTTAAAAAAACCCCTTAACTTGAGACAAAAAGTGTGAGTGACCACCATGCTGTTTCTAGTCTGTCAACCCAGAAATAATAAAGCCAGAAGAAGCCAAGGAGGTCTTTAATGTTAGCTGGTTTTTGTTAGTTCTGTTGTTTCAGGGAAGAGGAAAGAATAACAGTTGTTTTTCCATTTATACTTTTGTCTTTTTTTTCTTGATGGTAACACAAAAAAGTTATAGGAAAAGAGGAAAGATTTCTAGACAAACACACATTGTTGAAGCCCTTTCCTCTCCTTGTATTTTTGGTGGAGCTTAGAACTGGTTTCTGTTTAATACAAATACAAATTTTAATACTTCCTTTTCATGCCATTTTAATAGAGAATTTCACTGCTATTTTTTATTTAAAATTAATACATTTTAATCATTTCTTTATAAGTGTCACAGAAAGTATTTAAAAGATTTTTTTTTAAAAAAATGAAATATGAGGGAAGGTAAAAATTATAGATTCATCCATCCAGACTAACAGTGTTAAGCTTTCATTTAAATTTGAATCCCTGAGTATCAGCCATGTTTATAATGCTGAATTACAGTTGTCATTTATCTTTTTTTCTGGTAGACATCTCATCTTTTTAAAAAAAACGGCAGATACCACATGGTCCTTTCTTTTCTTATACTATTGGTCCATACTAAAAGTTGAAATAATCTTCCACAAGAAACATATAAATTAAACACAAAGAACTTAAGAATTTTTAAAAAATCTAACGTGGGCCAAAAGCAAAAACGGATAAGAAATCTTCCGGTTTTCTGACAACTGTTCTAGCTAGGAACCGTCCATATAACATGTACCTTACAGCATGGCTTCTGTATCTTTCCTCTGCCTCGTTCTTCCATTTTTACCAGAGGAACATAAGTAGGAATAGTATTAAAACAGACATTTTTAGATTCAAAAAAGTCCAGCACTCCCTATTTGTATGCATGTATAGTCAACTAGAAATATCAATATTAGATTAAAAAGTTTGGTTAGGATGTTTCTGCTTCTTGTTGCCACTGCCTCATGAATCCCGACTTTTATATTTTCCTCTCAGTATATGATGTCTGTTATGGTACTGAGATGCTGAAGGATCCCAATGACTTGGTGTGAAATAGTAGGAAGCTGTGCTATTCTATCTGTGGAAAGTATTATATCGCCACACACTTGTAATTTCGTTTTTTAAAAGATGTGCCCAGTTCTAGTAAGTTTTGCCGAACAGTCTTTCCTCCTTGTCTCCTTTTGAAAGAAGGTTTTGTAACTATCCTTTCATGTCTTTCTGTTTCATTCAGGGCAAGAAGAAGAAGAGGAAAAGGGACAAGCAGCCAGGAGAGACCAATGGTAAGTAAAATGTTTTATTTATTCTGTAGTGGAACAAAGGAGGCCTTGGCTTCCTACGATTCTTTATTAAGGAGAAAGGTGATTTATTTAAGAATAAATCCCTAACCTTTGCTTGCATAGGGCCACTACTGTGCCCGGCATTTGCCTGTTGGATTTTAAATACACTAAGTTCAATTTCTTATTTGTTTGTCTGTTAAAAATTAGTTACCAAATAAATGCATGAAAAACATACTATAATGGTAGTTATGTTGGTCCTTAATAATTCCTAAGTAATTCACCGTAGAGCCATAGTTTGTTAATGCCTATGCCATTTTTTTATCAAGGGTGTTTGCTGTGTGAGTGTGTTTGTGTGAGTGTCCCAGCATGTGTGTGAATTTGATAATATTTTGAGATGGGTCTGTGTGTTCTGGTGCATGCCTTTACAGTGGTAAATTGCAGCCATATATATAAATATATATATATAAATATTTAAATTAAGGAGGTTTGCCATTTTCTCTAGAAAATTAGAAATACTGCATAGGCAATATCATAGTCAATTTTGAAAGAGAAAAAAACCCTGATTAATTTTTTCTTTGAAGCCTTTGTATAATTTGTTCTTTTTTTTCAGAACACAGCGAATGTTTCCTAAATCCTTGCCTTTCACTTCCTCCGATTACAGGTGCTAATGTCATTTTCAGCCGTTTAAAATACTTTTGTAAACTGCTTTTAGTTTTTTTTATCCTGCCATTTTAGATTTTATTAACATTTAAACACTGACATTAAAAATAATCCTACCATTCACACGTGTGCAGCATACATCTGTATCTATATATTCATAATGTTCTTTGGCTAGTACCTTTTTTTGGTTTTGTTTATGATTTGTTATTCATTGCAATTGCAATTAAACAATAATGCAGTAAAAAATAACTCAGTTGTACTAACTGTGCAAATTGAATATGCAGTATTTCTTTAAAGAGACTGATACAAACTGGAAGAAACTTAATGAACCTCCTTAATCTAATGGCATTTTATGCGGCACTCACTAAGTCTTTTCATGCCAGCATGCAATCACATTTTTAAAAAGACAACAACTCTTGTTTTGCATATCTACTCAGACATACCCATGGCTATTCACCTGCTTTACTTGCATACTGCTTGCTTTCCATGCTTTTGATCATTTTATTTCTGGCTGAAACTAACATATCCATTTGCTATCTGCTTATTCTGAGCCAATTATTCTTTTTTTTTTCAAATTAAAAAATGAATGGAATGTTTATTCCAAAAGCTGCATTATCCTCAATATAGTTTTCTTTCACTTTTTATTTTAAGTCTGTAGAAAAGCATGTTTGAGGTCTCCATACTGAGCTTCTTCCCTTCCTTTTCCCCTTTCCCTTTAAAGAACTAAGTATCCATTCCAGCAATGCAGTCCACCAAGCCTTGTTCCCACACAAGCCTGTTTAGGACTTGTGTAGGAACAGTTGATCACTTGCACCTTCAATAACTCTTGAATCAATTACAACTTCCTCTATTGTACTTTTTTGGGGGGACGGACAAAGAGACAGTCCTTTACAAAGGGATACTGCAGCTTTAATTGCAACAGCTGATTTCAAAAGTTTGATAGATATGGTAATCACTACTTTGAAAATTAAACGATCAAGTTGATATTTTGCAGTTAATAATGAGGTCATTGATTTTATTTCCTTTTTATTTTTATTTATTTTTATTTTTCCTCTTTCTCCTTTTTTCCTTCTCTCTCTCTCTCTCTTTCTCCACTTTCTCTCTTTTTCTGCTCGCTTCTTTCTTGACCTCATTCAGACCTGAGCGCTCCTAAGAAATGCCGAGCGCGCTTTGGCCTTGATCAACAGAATAACTGGTGCGGTCCCTGCAGGTGTGTATAGTCTTCCCCCCGACTTGCTATGGCTGGTTTTGCAGCTGGTTTATTTGGTACTCCCCCTGCCCTTCCCTCTTCTCCTGCTTTGTTGCTTTGTAGCTCTGTGTTGTGCTCTGGAAGACACAAGGGAGTGGGACGCTGCTGTGAATGATCATCTCTTTCTTTTTAAAGGATTTTGCTCTTCTCCCTCCCTTCCCACTCATTTTTGTTTCCTCCACCCACCTCCTCACTGCCGCTAGCTGGAAAAATTCCCACTGTAAGACAGTATCAGCCTAGGCCTGCACACAAACTCACCTTCTCTGGAAAGTTGCATATATACCTATTTTTTTATATAAAACATTGCCAAAGTGCCTTTTGATATCACAATGCCAAGGTCTGCAGAGAAGACACAGGACTGAGTTGAGGGAATGCACAGCAGGCTTAGACATTGTAGGTGTGTGTCGCCTGGCAGAGATTGTCTTTCTTTCATGCCCTTAGGTCTGAGAGATTGCCAATGAACCGAATGAAACATTAGCTGTAGCTAAGATTTCACATCCAACTGAGCTCTATCCACCATTGTGTTGTATTTTTTGTGTTTACCTTGTGCTAACAGATGCAAATACTCCAAAGAAGTGTCGGGCATTGTTCGGGCTTGACCAACAGAGTTTATGGTGCAAACCATGCAGGTATACTACCCGTTAGGCCTTTGGGAAAACTAAAAGCATTCTGTCATCTTAGTGTTACATGTGTGGATTATTTTTAACCACTTCCCCTCCTTCCACCTCTTGACCTCCTTGCTTCTACATTACGTGCTAATAAATTTTTATCTTAAAAGTTCTTTGCTAATCCAATGCAAATTCCTTTCTTCCTTAATCAGCAATCTCTCTTTTGATAGTAGAACTGGGAATCATTACACATACACACACCACTGAGTTATTCTTAGTCTAAAGTTATTTAAAGTGGGTTTTTTCACAAGTTAGTATGTGTATTCCTGCAATAATCACAGAGTTTGAAAACAGTGACCTTACTTCTTTGGCATTTCACTGTGACAAGACCGGATAGAAATGAGACTTTTACAGCTCATAATCTGGAGCCTATCACAGTATAGATGTTTTCTGGCTCCTTTAGAATGGAAATTATGGCTATGAGAATCGACTAGTTATGAACGATGGCAGGATAACCACCAGGACACTCCATTTAGATCCAGAGCATTATATACTTAAGCCTATCCACTCACTCTCTCTCTCACACACACACACACGCACACACATACACACAAAGAGAAATTAATTCAATTTTGTGTACTTCCACAAACTTATCTTATTCCTACATAAATAAAAATCTGTATTTGGCAGATTTGCAAGGCACTTGAAGGAACTCTTAACAGTGATACACTCATTACTGATCTGTTAAATTCTCATCTCCTCGATGAGTAATTTATGATTTTTATCCAAATGGTAGGCCATTGTTCTGCATTGCTCAAAGTATGGCTTTATCTTAGCGGACACCTAAGCATTTGATACACGTCATGTTCTACTGCAGATTTAGGTGAAACCTAAAACTTCATGAAAAAAATATACGTAGGCAATTGTTTCCTGTGAAGAGAAACAAACTCTCTCGCTTTCTTTTTGCATACCTTTTCCCTTAATATGGTTAAATTTGTTGTTTTTCTGTTCTGATCCAAGCAGTCTTTGAATTTGGAATATTATGATGGTAGGTATTTCAATCCAACACACACTCTTTTCTGTATGTAGTGCTTCCCTCCTCACCTTTCCCTCTGGTTCACATCCATACTATGTGCTTCATTCCTTTTTGTTTTTTAGAATGTAGAGCAGTTATTCATATTATGCATGCTGATCCTATTAGTTTTGTGATGCTAAGCTATACACTTGGGTTGAAAATGTATTTTACATCAAATTGTTAGATAAAGTTCATGCATTGTCCTTCAAGGGCAGCATTCCCTGTGACTTCCCATCAGATGCATGCGTTTCACACTGTGATTTGTATGACAAGAGGTCCTAAATAGTACCTATAGAAAATTATCCAATATCAAGAAGATTTAAGGAGAACAATAATCAGAGCAGTTAGACTATATAAGCTTTAAGAATGAGAAGATACACTGTTATGTCCTAGACTTTGTGTAGTTAGGGTTATCCATTGAGTACTCCATGTTATTTATTGGTAGCCATCATTATTAATGTTAGAATAACGGGTTAATGTAAAAGGTGAACATTAAAGTATTAGGAAGCAGAATGGCATATTTGCCCTATCATGTAGATTTACTTGTAAACATTTGACTCACTATCAAAACACAGAAAATAGGGCAATATGATTGGTAAGGTGGAATACTGAAGGAAAAAAGAAATCACACACTACAGATGGATTGGTTTATTATGTAGCTATGTGCTAGACTTTAGCAGGGCTGTTGATGACAGACTTACGAAGGTCACTCATTCATAGCTGTTGCCACAAGTCAAAGTTGACTTGGTGGCAGATAACATCAACAGCCCTCTTTCTTACAGCACACACTAATAAAGGCTATGGCAGATGCCTTCTTTTGAACACCTCATCTGTTCACTGCCATAAGTTCAATATGACTGGGATACATAAACTGCAGCTCTGCTTCAAACTAAGAATAGGGAAGATTCAAGAGCCATCTCCATGTAACCTGGTATTGGAAAAAGTTGAACCAAATAGGATTCCTTTGGATTCGAATTTGACTTCAAGCCTCCCTACCTATCCCTATTCTAAACCTATTCCAGCATCATTTCTTAACCACCTACTGGAACAAATGGTTTAATTCATAAAAGGTAGCATTTGCTGTTTAAAATCAGATTTGATAAAGATTTTCTATTTGATCTATAATATTTGTGACACTTTCCCCTACACAATTCTTACATTTTCAACAATAAAGAAGGGAATTATTTCTTGTCCTCACATTTTAGCCTTCCGTTTATTTTCACATGCTTTATTAAATGTAGGATCTCAAATGAAAAGGAATCAAGCCAGGAGCTTGAAACATAATACACAAGTTAATCCAATAAGAATTGGATTTTGTAAATAGTACAAGACAGTAACACAGGTGTCATTATCACTATTAACAGCTTTGCATTCCAAATATGTATTAATCTCTGGAGATGAGTGATTTCATGGTCCATGTTTCATGGGAATATGAAGACATGAGCATCTTGAACATAGAATTCAGTACTTTAGGGTAGTGTGCAGCTATTGCACTCCAAAGTTTCTCAGACTTCTCCCCCAAAGTTCCTTTTTTAATGAATGAAAAATCACTCACAAAAGGTCCCAAACACTACATGGAGTTGTGGTATGTATTAAGCTACCATTTTCCCCAAAATTTACAATTTCAAAAATCACCCTCTCTGCTGTGGGAAGAATTCTAAAAGTTTAAACCAGAAGGGACTGGATTTCATTTTCAGCTACCTTTTGCTTGAAAATTCATTAGTGTAGCTCACTATGAGAGTTGCTAGAGTTGTCCATCCTTCCTAAATTTAGCTGGACTTTTAATTCTTAACACTGGGTTTTCTGAAGTTGTTACTGCTCCTTCTACAATTAGACCAATCACTATACAGAAACTACAAAGTGCCGTCAGCAATTTCAGACCCACCCCCAAACTCATTAAATCATTTTTAACATAAGGTTAAAAAGTATTTAGCAAGCATTTACCACTACACTCAGAGGCACTTTACTTGTGTCTTTACAAATGCTCCTGTGTTAAATATTTTGCTCACAATCTACCAATTCTGAAGTGAGGGAAGTGCAGGTTGGTGTTCTCAAGGGCTTACCCAGAACTGTGTTAACATTTTGCAGCCATTTTTGCTCTATTTAAGCAGATCTTGGCTATTGTAAAACACCCTGAGATTAGATCTCCACTTTTATATATTTTTAAAATAAGGTAGTTCCTTATCTTTAAGGCTGTGAGAAATGGGCTTGGTGATAAGACCAAGTATCAAGTCCTAGGATCCTAGCTAGCTAACTGTCCCTTGTCCCATAACTAAGATGACAGTGAAAACTAAGCATCTCTCATAGACCTTGACTTTTCTTGGCTACCTGCTTATTTTCTATCAACGAAAACACTCACTACCTTTGAGATCTGGTGCATTTGCCCAGCAATAAGTCTATCCCTAGTCTATTACACTGGGGTGCACAATAATAACAGACACGTCTTAAGACACATCAGTTCTTGTTGATTTCACTGCATAAAAACCGATTTGTTTCAATGACATTGAATTAGAGATTCTTATTTTGCAAGGACTTGTAGAAAGGACTGAAGCAACCAAGCCAACATTCTTGCAATAAATATGCCTTGATCAAGCTACATTGTGCGGTAGTGTGTTCTGCCTTTTCTTGGCCTAACATTGCAATGCAATCCTTAGCTTGTCAAGAAGAGCAAGGGGCAGGGAGGTGGAGGAAACTGAATCCGAGCACTGTTCCCAGTCCAATCAAGAGTCAAATTCATAGTGCAGAAATGTGTAGCTTTTGTTGGCTTCCTATGGGCTTCCCATTGTGGTTATGCCTATAGTTACCAAGTCTTTTAGCAAGAGATGTATCTGTGCAGTTGGATTTGGAGGAGGGGGGTTGCATCTAGATGTTGTGTCCATTGAACCATCAAGTGTATGCATGCACACACATTGCTCCCTCTACCTTCTGTGCTGCATGGCCTGGCAGAGCTTCCTACCAGCAGCATGGTGACTTATTCACAAAGTCTCTGTGACATTGACTGGTAGAGCTTTCTGTACCATTTTTAAAACCCTGCTTTGTTCAGCCAGGGGCAGAAGTATTTTGCATGCCAGATGTTGAATGTCTTCATATAATGGGATCCCCCTCAATATTAGCACCATTCTGTTAATATAATCTTGCTCATTTCCCATGGGTTGCTAAAAAAATGCTGCTTTGAACTGTTGATATGGTAACATTGCCTCCTTTCTGCCTGATGGGATTAATTAACAAGTAAGGCATAAAGAACATGAAATAGTTTGGGCCAGTGGATTACATTAATTTCTTGCTAATAGATTTCCAATTTTTAGTACTGAGGAATAGGAGACTTTCTAGCAAGGTTCTGTTTAGAGCCCACCAAATTACTGTTGGGTTTTTTCTTCACCTTTTAACTTACCTTAATAAAGCATGATTTGCTATTGCCTGCTATCTTGCACTTCCTCCTTTCTATTACTTTCTGCTCTTTGTTCCTATCATTTTCTGCTCTGTGCTTTTGTTGCTTTAATTCTGAAGGTTTTTAAGTGCATGGCTATCTTAGTTTCTAGCATGTATTGATCAGCAGGCTACAGTGGTAAAAAAATTCTCCATTGCCCTAATAATTGACTCTTCTGTGTGAAATTTTGGGCATAAGCTTCGTCTTCCTTTTGAAGGGGAGAAATGTTAAGCCCTTACTTACAGAGGTTATATGTAGAAAAGCTTGCAGGGATTCCTAACACTGCAGAAGATAGCATCTTCTCAATGTGAGTGATGAGGAAGCTGTCCAATGCCAAGCCAAACCATGGATTCTTTCCAGGGTTTTAGATGGGAATGTGTTAGGGACAGACCCTGAGTATCTGAAGATGCAATTCCAGAAGGCTGGACATATGCAGAAATTAATCAAGTTGAAAGGAGATAGTTAAATAAGACTTATGGTGGGTGTGCTGCACTTTTAAAGTGGGCATATTGTTTTCCCTTAGATTTGTTTCCCTTGGATTAGTGGGAACTCTTGAACCACATATACAATTTGTTGATATTGTTGTTTTATTTGCTTTTGTATGGTATTATAACAGAAAATGCTCTCAGGTGACCTTTCTAATTCTAGATATGGGTCAATCTAGAGCCATTGCCTTCTGTACTGTAGTCTTACAGCAGTGTGGTTGAGCTTCAAACTCATGGTCCACTTCCACTGGCTACTTGAGCTTCCATACCTTTCACCTTTTTGCAAACCTTAACTCAATTTCACTTAACACATTTGCTGTTGCAAGAGTCCTAGCTAAATTGTGTTACATTGATGTGGATGTTTTGGGCAGAAATATCTGCATTTGCTTTGGACCATTTTCCCCTTAAAATCATTTTGCTATTGAACCTCTGCTGTACAAGATGGTGCATGCTTAAGATTTTTATACTACTATGGGAGGTGTATTCTATGCATTAGGTGCAATTGATAGGTGTTCTGCTTTATGCAAGTTTGATATGTGGGGGTTGATTGTGGATTGTTTTAATAGAATTGATTTTTAAATGAAATTCTCATTGTTTTATGAAGATACATGTTGTTTGTGCACTGCATCTAACCAAGTGTTGAATTTTAACTGAAGTTACAGGAATGAATTCAGACAACATTCCTATATAAATTAAAATAGGCAGTTCCTTTTCCCACTCCCATCCTTTAAAAAAACAAACAAACCCCGATGTGTGGTAATCCACAACCTGCAGGTTATACAACCAGTTATTCTTGTTAATTTTGGGTGATATTTCTGTTCATCTTCCTTTTTCTTGATTCCCCACTTTTATTCTTCCTGTTACTTTCTCTTTTCTTTTGTGTGTGAATTGATTTACTTTTTTTCTCCATATGGTGTGGTTCTAAACAGAAACAAGCAAGAGTGGTAGGTCATCGGCTGCAGCTTATTGCAAAGGTGGAATTCCATCCAAGGCAGGCAGAGTGTCATTCCAGGGAGGCTCCTGAGTCAGTCTTTCAGATTTTTTGGTATATGTTAAATGTTCAGGGGGTGATGAGAATATAAAATATCACATGGTAAATTTAGGGTGGGAAGGAATTAATTGTTGTTTTTCTAAAAAAAACTCACAAATGAGTATATCATCAAATGTGTCTAGTTAGGGGAAGAGAGGGTGATTCCTCAAAGATATGGTATCTACAGTTAACCAGCACCATCATATTAAGCACATTGGGTGTGGTCAAAGAGAGCCCAGCATAGTTTCTGGTGACTCGGGGGTTTATTTTGTTTGTTTGTTTTTTTCCAATAGCATTTCTGCCCCTCTATTCACAGATGACTCTCTCCCTGTTTCTAGGAGAAAAAAAAAGTGCGTTCGCTACATACAAGGTGAAGGCAGCTGCGTCAGCCCACCCTCTTCAGATGGAAGCCTACTAGACTCTCCTCCGTCTTCTCCTAACATGCTAGCCTCCCCCACAAGAGACTCAAAATCACAGACTGAACAAACCCAACCTCTCTCACTCACATTGAAACCCGACCCGCTGGCACACCTCCCACTGATGCCGCCCGCATCCTCCTCCTCCGTAGTTCTGACTGAAAGCTCCACTAACAAACCGAGGGGGCTGCCTGCTAGTAATTGCCAGAACGGGGCACTGGACCATCAGTCTGCCACTTTACAGCAGTCAGCACCGTCCTCCTCTTCGTTAGTACAACCGTCAACATCCTCTGTGCATTCCCATAATTCTTTGGCTGGGACACAGCCCCAACCCCTTTCACTTGTAACCAAGTCTTTAGAATAGCTTTAGCCTCTTGTAGACCTCCTTATTTTTATTTTGCGTGTGTATGTGTGTCAAGAGTTTTCCCCCCTTTTGTTTGTATTTTTTTAAACAAATTGTGCCATATGGCTGGCTACATTAGTTGATGTCTATCGAGTTCATTGGTCAATATTTGACCCATTGTTATTTCATTTTTTTCCTTTTTAAATATGTAGATCAAGAAAAAAAGCCTCATGATTCTGCCAAAATTTTTATCAACAGCTGTTTAAAGTCTTTGTAGCGTTTAAAATATTATATATATATATAAATATATATATACATAACTGTTATGTAGTTCCAATAGCTTAGTTTCAAAGACTGATTTTAAAAATGAAAAAAGAAGCAATTTTGAAGCAGCCCTTGCTGAAGGCGTTGGTTCTTTATTATTTGTATTAAATACGAGCTTGCGAACCAATCATTTTACATCTGGTTTTTAAAACTTTTTAAGGGCACAATGAATGCAGTGCCGCTATTTTTTTCTTTCCTTTTTTTTCTTTGTGTGATATAACTTTTCTTGTGATGTTCCTTGTTATTGTTTAAATGTACAGAAACAAAGGGTTAAAATGTGTTAATATACCTTGTTCCATGGTGTTGTTCTTTTCTGGGGGAGGGAATGCTACTCAACAATTAAAAAGTATCACAACGCTATTGGACCAGTAGTATTTATTGCTTTAGAGATTGCTTGTTGTACTTGTACGTTGTCCCTTTTTTAAAAAAATGTTTTCCTTTCCCCCCACTCCCCTTGAAACGTTGTGTAAAGTTTTTCCCCTCCTTAGTGTAAGCATCATATATATAACAACTCATTTGTACAAGGTTTTTAAGTTTATATAAAAAAGTGTATATATATATTTTTGTTGGCTTCTTTTGTTTGTTTTAATTTCTTTTATTATTATTTTTCTTGTCACATCGTTGCCACCAAATGGACATTTGCAGATGGATCAATAGTGTAAAAAAAATGCTTTAAAAGCCATTACATGAAATAAGACTTGAAAATTTAGCATGGGACTTTTTCGCAATGCTGTTGGAAGAGCAGCAGTGTCTCCATTCAGAACTGCAATGATTTCCCCCGACACTTGTAGGCTGTGAGCAAAACTTTTTATGTGCCAAAATTCTCAGTGATTTTCTCTTTTCCCAACAACTTTTTTATGATGTATTTTTTTTGTTCATCCTGTTTTGCTGTGATGTTACATAGGTAGATATGTATGTAGTTTTTAATGTCACCTATTACAGACGTGTTTGGTAGCAGATTGTCCAGAAAGCATATAAAAATGAAGAGGTATAAACCCTAATGGGCCAAATTCTGTATATTAGATTATTCATAAAAGGAAAAAAGTCAGACTGCCACTTTTATGTAAACTTACTACATACAGGTAGGTAGCAAACTTTAAAAAAAAACCTAGGCATGTTGATGTTGCAAAACTTTTTTAAAAAGATAAAATGCTGTATAAAGCTGAAAAAATGTTCATCTGTTCATCCAGTGCCATTGTAGTTGACATGAAGCGATTGTAAAACTGTCTCCAGTTTTCTTCTCTGGTTTATTAAGATGCTAACTATGACATTTTTTTGTGAATCCTTTGAATGTTTCCTAACAGTTGTGATGTTACTGTTCCGTTTTATTGCTCTTATTCCAATTTTTCATTTCTAATGGTTTGGAAGCCATTTTTTGTAATGAATAAATGTCCATGCTGTACAGTATCTGTAGCATGCAGTTCTGGATTAATAAAAGCAACTTAGTATGTGCAGATGAAGACTTGCAGCTCATTTACCTGTAGGGTTTATTTAATTTTCCCTAATCCCTAGTGCAGGTGGTGTTCAACATGGCATGTTTTACATCTGTCTCAGTAGAATTGCTGCTTAGAATAATCACTTATCAATTAGAACATAAACTGCCAGGTGTAGAGTAAGACCCACAGTATCAATGATGTATGACCAAATTCCCATTGATTTAATGGACCTACTTTAGTTGGAACCAACAAATTGATTTAGGCCAGTCAGTTGGGTTAATTGTTCAGTGGTAAATACCTGCCTAACCCTGAAGATATTTTGAAATATTTCAAATCTGAATGGTGTGAAACAAAACAAAGACCAATAGGCTGTTGTATTTATTCACTAATTCCAGGGAGACAAATGCATCTGGAGATTATGGGTCCCCAAAATTGCACACACGAATCCAAATCTCAGTTACCAAATTCTAATTCTCCACTTTCAACTGTACACACAATACTTGTAAGAAAAGCCCAATAAAATATACGAAGGTTCAAATACCAGGTTTGAAGAAGTACAAGCAGACTCATGCTTATACTTCTCATAGCTTTTAGGACATGCAAAACTGAAATATTTCCAGATCCTTCTCACATGGGAGACAGTTTCAGATGCAGGTGAAAGACATGTATATTCCATCTTGGGTAGATACAGTATGACCTCCCTTTCCTCACAGTGCACTGAGCAGCAGGAAGAAGTGAAAGTACATACTGAATATTTATTTCAGTTTGGCATTCAGTTAAGATACTCCACAATACTGAAAAAATCTTCAGGATTCTGGCTGTTTAGGAAATTAGCATTTGATCCCTAGTACTTTTCCCAGCAAAATCTGCAAAACAAAAAACAAAAACAAAACCCCATTGTCAAAATTTGGAAGCCACCGTTATCAATTTCCCATCTTAGATCCTTAATTTGCAGATAAGACTATGTCAAGAGTTGTGTTAATGTCATTATTTGAGTTGGTTCTTTGGAAAACCATATAAATCAATTCATCAGCTACCCATTGCTGCAAAATGTAATGCCTCTGCAACACACAAAATGCTAGAATCTAATGTATACAGAAATTTACGGTTATTTGCTAACTAAAATTCAGCATTTTAATGCTTCCAGCACATGCTTGTCTATCAACTATGTATCTGTTCTGAGAGTTTTCCAGCTTCAGACTCTGCACTGCACAAATTCCATGGATGTACAGATCATGAACGTGTGATTTGTTTTTGTTTTATTCTTTATGTTATTTGCATTACATTATTTGCTCAATAAAGATATTCACTGTACCTTTTAGGGACTTGTAGCCATGTGTGAACACAATATATGAACTCAGAAGGATGTTGGTACAAACATTAGAGTTACTCTGCAAGAGAGAGAGAAAAATCTTCAGGGCTCTTGCAGAAAAAAGAAAATTGGAAGAAATTGTCATGGAGAAGATTTTTCTTTGAGAACCTTCTTTGTCATTTTATGCACAGTTTACTCTGAAGCAAGTCCCACTTAATAGACTTGCTTCGGGGAAAAAATTGAAACGATGTCAGAACAATAATACACTGAGTTTATTAAGATTTCCCTTTAGGTGCCTGGGTATAGGATTGTAGTATCAGTCCACCTACAGGTCAGTAGCAAAATAATCTGGAGTCATGATGAGTAAATGCTAAAGAAATAGGGGCATACCAAAACAAATTTTTGGAAACTTAAAAAATGAATTATGTCACATTATTTTCTTACTGTTTTGAAAACTTCTGAAAAGTTATAATATACTGTATAAACAATGTCTCTACCCTGATATTTGACGTGACCTTAAAAAAAATATCCCAAAACACATACCTGTCCCAAAACACTACATAAACTCAAATGAGAGTGTCAATGGGGCACAAGTTTGTGTCATTTTCCTTGAATTTGAAGAAAATTGTGTTTTGATTTTTCTAGTTATAAGAGAGGTAAGAACACTGCAACCTGATATATACCATGAATTTGCGGGTTTGCATAGAATCAGAAATATCACTTCTTTCTTGGCAGAATAGATACAGATATGACTGACAGAAATATTTGTGCCTACATCCCATTCCCATGTGATAAAAGCTGCTTGGCGAACATTTGTACTACGCACAGGGAATTTGCCAGGAAATTACAATGTTTTAAAGCAATGCCTTTGGATTGGAAAGATTATTTACAAGAAACGTTGCCCAGGGGACGTCCGACTGTATTTACTCAATCTTCAAGGAGGCTCTTTCCGTGTCCCCTCCTAGAGACAATGCAGTCACCATAGCCTGTTTTTGGTCAAGGATTATTTAGCTGCTTGTGCTCCCTCCATTTTATCAGTTTTATACTTACTTATGCAATGCTTTTGACATGAAATAAAAGTAAAAGGAAATTATAACAAACATTTTGTTATGTGTTAGCTGTAAACAATTTAAAAAGCAAAAATGGAAGGAATGAAGTTGTTAAGTCACTCAACATATGTGAAATTCAGCATCTGATGCTCATACTTTAAAAGCGGTTAGGCCTTCCATGTTATGTTCCAGAAACATGATTATCAGCTGTTGGGAACACACGCAGAAGCATCTCTTATACTCAAGTGTTCTTTTATGGGTTTCCCCAAGTTATATAGTTGTCCATTTGGGGGGACTATATAGGCCTTTGTTCTTATCATAGGGCAGCGTGATAGCAAAAGCCATAACTAGAAAAATTACTCTTTATTTTCCACAAGTATTAAAGATTCAACAATCCTGAGAGTAATGGTACAACTACCCTTTTCTCCATTGGCTTGCTATCCCCTATTTTTGTTCGAACACCCTTCCTATTTACTTCTCTACTTGCTTCTCTATCTGCTTATATATAAGGTCATCATGTTTTGAAAGGAAAAAGAAGACAGATTTACCAACCAACTACATCAAATAACGAATCTCACTTTAAATGCCATAGCTAAAAAAGTTGTGAAAATTGCTACTGGAAATAGCCCTAGCCTTCTGAAAGCAGTCTCATCCGCTTCACCAAGACTCCATATTTCTTCATTCACATGTAATTGTAGGCTTGGTTAGCTTGCTTTTCACCTACAAGTCGCCTTCTCCCACTCGTCACCCTTTTGTAGCTGTCTTGTTATCTATCTCCGAGTGCCCCACCAGACCAGCCTCCATCCCTACCAGAACTCTTGCGGGAGCTGGCAATATAGTAATGAGAAGGCAATGTTGGCAGGCAGGAGCAAATCCCCAGGCGTTTTGAAAAACCATCCAAATGGAAATTATAGTTCTGAAAAAGATGATATATCCTGGAAAAGAATGGTATATGGCTAACCAGTATGGGGTTTTATCTTGACTCAATATTTTCCTTGATTTTTCATTTTGTTGCCCATTTCCCTAACTTCTTTTGCCTTTTTCAAAATCCTATTTTGAAGTATGATATCTTCTGCTTTACTCCTACTTTAAAAAATCCATAGTTTATATAACTCCAACATTTAGTGGTCTTTTGGCCTGCACTGTACACTCTTGCCTTTCTTTGTAATCCTTCAACTAATGTATCCTCTCTTCAAGTTTATTGCGTTATCTATTTGTTACTTTGCATTCTTCATTTACCTTCATTGTCTATAGTTTCTTGTCATGTAGCTTCTTTCCTCTCATCTCCTCAAAACATAATTCCCACTCATGGTAGCACTCACTACTCTCATGTCAGTCTTGTTCATTGGAGAATTAATTCATCACTGGTATGGTAAAGTAGTAATTCTGTGGTTGGGGGTGGGTAGGTCTTACTGTATTTCCAAACAACTGCTCCCAGTTTACCAGTCAGAAGGGAGTCAGACCTGGCTCTGAGATTTTGAGGCATTGAAGGTCTATTTGTCTTCTGAGGTTTCCTGATTTGGGGATGATGTTACTGAATGGGCTGCCTTCTAGATTGTAGGCAATGACAGACAACAGTAACAGCCTGACTCCAGGCTGATATTCTGCATACAAACCAAGAGAAGATGATAGTCTCTCCTTGCTTTCACTTTGGTAGGAAGCCCAACCACATTGAGTTTGGTGAGGTCAGGTTAAACACATCAATAATATTGCAGAGGAGACATGTAAATTGGTATTGTTATATGATTCTAGAGATCAGCTCATTTACTGTCTCATGTCTTAATTCCTGGAATGTGGAGGCGATGACACATTTGCCAACATAGTAGCTTACTCATAACATTTAGTGGGTTTTTAAAAAGTGCATTCAGTGGCTCAAATTCCTGTCTAATGTTCAGTTGGGAAGCAGACAGTAATTTTGTTCTTTTTTTTTTCCAGCAGGATTTGTCAATTGCAGTAGGAACTAGAAAACAGTGTTTGTTCAGAAAGTAAGGAGTAGTTGGTGGCCAGTAAGAATCCAAGCAGGATCTGAGCCAGACAGAAGCAACTGTGTTGCAATCATGCTGTCAATCCTGGCCAGAAAGGCACATTACAAATAGAATAAACACATGCATTTCATGGCAGGACAATCTATCTGGTATGTGGCATATGGGGAGTGTTTGTGGCAACACATTAAAAACATACAATCTTGCTGCGAGTGCACAACATATAAAGGTGAGATTAAAATCTCTCCACCTAGCTTTCTGAATTATAAGGCCTGCAAGGGTATGATGCTACTAGTCACAGTACAAGTTCAGTCTCACAACTGAGATTGAGAGGTGAGAGAGTTTTTGCCCTTCAGGTCTTCTGTTTTTTTTTTCTGTTGCTACTGGTTGTAGCCTTTCCCACTCCTTATACCACTACCAAAAAACAAGTTCATGAGCTTCTCATTATTGTCTGATAAGTGATGCACTAGTAAGCTTATTTTTAAATTGTTTAACTAAAAACAGTACAAGGACATTTTTCACCTCATAGTTGAGTTTGTTTAAGCCACTAAATTTTCCTTGCTAGCATTAACTGGAATGACAGCCATCATTTCATTTTCCAACCATTTTCCTGGCTTAAAGGTTAGTCCAGTGATTCCCAACCTGTGGGTGCCCAAATGTGTTGGCCTTTAACTCTCAGAAATCCTGACCGTTGGTAAACTGGCTGGGATTTCTGGGAATTGTAGGCCAAAACACCTGTGGACTCACAGATTGAGAACCACTGGGTTAGTCTGATATTTGGGGAAGAGGATGATAGAAATGATTGGGCTACGTTTTGATGACATTTACAACAGGTCAGTAAAAGCAGATCCTTTAACTACAGCCAATTGTTATTATTCACTGCTATAAAGTCAATTGCTGCCACCTCTATGAATGACAAAACACCAGCTCTGCCTCAGTCTTGGAAAGTCGGGGCTGTGGCTTACTTGACTGAGACTACCTAGCTGCAATGGCATTTCCCTCTTTTCCTACTGCTTTCTACCTTTTTGTCTACTGAGTCATATCTCCTGTGATATGTCCAAGGTATGGCAGTCATAGCTTAGTTGACTTGGCTTCTAAGGAGAGTTCAGTCTAGAATTGCTCTAGGATCCATTTATTTGTTGTGGTTGCCGCAGAACTCTTCTTCAGAATTACATTTCAGATTAGATGGTTCTCTTCTTACCAGTTTTTTTCACTGTCCACCAAACACAAACATAAATAGAAATTAAAAACACATTACTATGGGCAATATTGACTTTGGTATTCAATGATATATCTCTTGTCTACTTCATTCATAGCTGCCCTTCCCAATCCTAGCCCACTGATATCTTGAACACAATTTTGGTGAGCAACAAAGCTAATACATGGGAAATCTTTGGCTAACTCAACATCCCCATACATAATTTGTGGCCATAATTTCTGTGTTCTTAGTATTCAACTGTAAACCTGTTTTTGCATTTTATTCCTTGACTTTCTTCAGTAGTTGTTCCAAGTCTTTACTATTTTCTGCTAATAGTGTAGTGTCATCTGCACATCTTAAACTATTGATATTCCTCCCTTCAATTTTCACGCCTCCTTCCTTAAAGTCTAATTCAGCTTTATGTATGATGTAGTGTACAATCATGGATCATTTTTAAAGATTTAAACTGTTTATTTTTAATACCATTAATATTTAATTCTATTTTAATGTTTGTATATTTTTAGGTTTTAAATTGTATTGCATCTGGTTTTCCTGTAAGCTGCTTTGAATCTCTTTTGCAGAGACAGAAAATGAGGTATAAATAAACATCATAAACATACACTTTAAAATAATAATACAAGTGAAACAGATAGGTTGATTAAATACAGCCTTGCCTGATCTTGCCAATTGGAAACTATCCCATTTCTTCATATCCTTTGGATATGGAATTTACTGGAATGGTGATATGGCTTTTAATACTGTTTTTATTGTTT